AAAAAAAAAAAAAAAAAAAAAAAAACGTAAAACATATAGAAATAGATGGGGGAAAGTCTATAGCGTGTAAACATATAATTATCCAAACGCACAAAGAATAACAGACATACATTCACGCATTCATGACAGGTAGCACACGTGTCGTTGGTATAAAAAATAGGTACGTATATGGATTTGCACCGTTGAGCACTTTTTTTTTCAAATTATAGATTCATGTCTTTCTGACCTTATACGTAATATAAATATCGATAAAGTGAGAAGTTAAGTAATACACACTCTGAATAAAACGATAAAATGAGCAGGTTGTTGGAGAGAGAAAAGTGGATTATATAAATGTAACTTGGGGTACATCCGCGAACACTGTGCCACAGTCAAATTACTGCTGATGTGTGTATATATGTATATATGTATACATACATATACATATATGTATGTACATACAGACACACACACATACATACATATAAATACTAAAGAAAGTAATAATGATTCAGTAACGGAAACGACTTTAGAACCATTAAAAAAGGCGACCCACCGGTTGAGGCTGCCTGCCTCTCCCTCTGGCAGGTGGCGGAGGCGGCGCGTAATCGAAATAGTAATCTTCGTATCGATAATAGTCATCGTAATATGGATCACTGTAGCCACCTCGATAATCCCCATAACCGTAATAGTCGTAATCATAATCTATAAAAACACACATTACAAATAGACCCAAATTTAGCCACGATATATCCAATTGACAACTTATTCAAAACTAATACTTGTGTTTCGTATAAGAAAGGGCATGCCGGGAAAAGATGGTTTTAAAAAACTTTCAATAATAGGAAACAAAAAAAGAAAAAGAAAAAAAAATATATATATATACTTGTATAACGTTACAAATTATTGCGACTTTATTTCGCAATCGTATTGTAAAACGTATTTAATTAAAAAATCATCACGGAAACATATATTACTTTCACTATGTAACAACGATATTGCCAAAAAAAGAAACTCAATAATTACCCTACCACCATCACGTATCCTGATATAAACTTCACGCTTCATTCGGATCATAGAAAATTGATATTTCCTAATTAATAATTCCAATATCCTAGCCCAACCTCCTCTCTCTCGCTCTTTCACTCACACACTCAATCACTTCTTCCTTGCGGAATTGTTAACGATTCTGAAATGTTCTGATTCATTAATGTTCTCTTTCTTTCTTATACAGGATTAATAACGGACATTGTCGTTATACAATATAATTATTGGAATTAAAAAAAAAAAAAAAAAAATAAGGCGTGTTTTCTTGCAATTTTCGATGATCCGATATTAGCGTCTTTTCAACGTTGAATACATAATTCCAAAAGGGAAAAATACAAAAACTCTACCAAATGGTACTCTACTACTTTCCACTCATAATTCAATGTCGCATCTTACCTATTTCCATGAGAGCTGAAATCAAATTTTTTAATTTATGATGCATACGAAATCAACAAAATACGCACACTTACATAAAAACGAAGTAAAACAAACAACGTAAATTAAAAAAAAAAAATAAATAAATAAATAAATAAATACAGGAAAGAAAGGAGAGATTAAAATTTCTTGGCGTAAAATGTGTACGATTGTGTACACTGCCACAAAATAAAAATCACTCGGATATTATTATAGGTAAAATACAAAACAAACAATACACATGCAATTTTTGTGTGTGTGCATGTCAATGTGCGTCTGTTTGTCTGTCCTGTTCCATCAGTCTGCGCGTACAAGAGCACACATATGTATATTGTATACGTAATATATTTATAAATATATACATATATAAATATATATATATATACATATAAAAATTATGTATAGAATATGTGTGTAATATGCACGCGCGCGTGATATCAAGCCTCACAGGAAGTGGTAGTGGTAAGGCAATACTATGCTCATATTATAATGCTAAGCCACACCTGACATACATATGCATAAATGTACATATGTATGGAAATTTTTATGTTTGTAACCTTCGTCCAAAATATTTTGTAAACCTGATTATTATATACTGTTCACGAAATTATGCATTGATAAAACAATAATTGCGGAAAAAAAAGAAGAAGAAATAAGAAAAAAAAAAGAAGAGAGAGAAAGAAAAAAAGAGTGGGGAAAGAAAACGAACAACTGCATAACAATTGAAAATGTAATCATAATAGGCTCAGACCAATAATTTAACTTAATAAAAAAAATATTATATATGAATGCAGCTATTCGATTTGATAAATAAAATAAAGAGATATTCCAGCTTCTAAACACTTTCTCACTACATGTTCTAATATGATAAATAATGAAACATGTGTAAGTTTGAATTCTTGTAAATCTTTTGCAACTTATAAAAAAAGGTTAATTTAAAGAATAAATTGTCATTTTCCCTATCTCTCTAAGAGAAAGGATTTGTAATTGATCTTATATCATATTATATATAAAATAAAAAATACAAACTTTCGACATTTATTATATTTATATTTATATCGTATATCGTTAAATACGTTTATATTTCTGTTAAATTTATATATATATATATATGTTATGCATTTAAGTTAAAGTATGTAGTGAGATAGTGAAAAATCCCCAAAAGCATGCGGGATGTTTATGTTACATAACATTACCATAAGATATCGATATAAACGATTTAACAATGATTTGTGTTTATATAAATCTGAAAAATAAAATATTAACATTTTAAATCTATGGACAAAATCTCGCTAATAAATTTTTAATATCGTATAATTTTATACGTTCTCTTAACACCGATGTATTTGTTATCTTTGAGCAATTGATTAATATAATAACATTGAATAATTTATTTAAAATTGTATTTTAACGTTCCGTATAAAATATAAGGAATAAATAATAATTTCATATTGATAAAATTGTTAATAATTTTATGAAAAATTTGCAGAATTAAATATTTTTATAAAAAGATATGGTCTAAGCCTAAAGATAAATCGAATTAATCATAAGCGGAAACAAAAAATGTTATTTTAATTAGAATAAAACGTGTTACATATACGTAATACACGTTTATCTTTTTCTGTATGAAATATTATTAAAGGGGTGGCGAAATGCAATTAAAATGTTACATACAAATACATGTATATATATGTATATACGCGTGTATATATATACTTAATACGGAATAAATCTAGAGAAATATCAACAAATACGACAAAAATAAAAACGGAGCGGTACTTACCATAATCGCCTCGTCCCATCTGTCCTCGCATACCTGCGCCGGTACCCCGAGGACCCTGACCTGGTCCTCGAACTGGCATTGGTCCTCCCATCATACTTGGGTGGGATGGAGAACCCCTAAAAAAGAAAATATTATTATATGTAATTGAAAATAATAGTTGGAGAGATTAAATTAGGAGAATATTGAACGAAATTAAAATTAAAAAATACATCCATATATAACACATATAACAGATATAACACACCCGCTTCTGCCCTGAAACATTTGCATCATTCTTCGCTCTCTAGCACGAAGCATCTCTTCCTTTTTCTTTTTATCAGATGGAGGTTTCGCGAGAGATACTTCAATATGAGAACCACCAATCTCTTTCCCGTTCAATTCGTTCATCGCCTAAAACACGAAACGATTTATTACCATCAAATTACACTTTCAAATTTGTTCACCAAATTATCTTTTGTCACATCATTTATGTAAAATGGAAGAACGTATGACAGAACTTTGATAAGGTATAGCTTATCCGTTAAAAATATAGCAGATGAAAATATGAACCATTTGCTAAATAAATTGTCAAGTTAATATTATATAATATTATTGATGAGATTTTATCGAAACTTACTTTCAAACTGGAAGATTAAACCAAATATATAAAGCGTATCATTTAATAACACAAATAATTAATGACGCGCACACATTATCAATGATTATTTTACCTTGACAGCATTGTCTCTTTCTTCAAAGTGGACAAAAGCATAATCCTTGATCTTCTTCACTCTTTCAATATTACCATATTGTTCAAAACTTTCTTTCAATTTCTCCTCAGAACAATCTTGAGTCAAATTTTTCACATACAATACACGCACCTATATAATAAATGATTCAATAAAAATAATCAATCTTATTACAATTATCTTATTACGTTCTTGCTTTGCTATATTAATTACTTACTTTAGACATGGTTTGTTCGTCGGGCTCCTCCTGAGGATCAGCCCAGTCAACTATGATATCACAGCCCCATACTTTGATGCGACCGGTACTTAATCTTCGTTTGGCTAAGGAAGCAGCTTTGTGAGATTCGTATTCTAAGAAGCAAAAACCTCTATTTTTCTTCTTGTCATCCGGAGAACTGTAGATAATCACCTCAGTCAGACCAGCTATATGACGAAAAATTACACAAAATGGATCAATAAAATTCAATGAAACATTTAATAGATAATTTAACAAATATATGTAAAGGTCTACGAATTAAGAAAGGAAACACAGAGAAACAAAAAAAGAACAAAGAAAAAGAGAGGGAAGAAATAAAATGGAGAAAAAAAAAAAAAAAAAAGAAAGAAAGAAAGAAAATAGATAAACGAATGAATTTCTTTGGGCTGTAACAGATGTATATTATGAATATCCGAGGACAGATGACACAACTGAATGAAAGATTATTTCACATGCAATGAATGAGTCATAAAAAAAAAAAAAATGCAAAGTCTTTTTGTTTGAAGCCTCGCTTGCAAAAAAAAAATTTAATTTGAAAATTAATTGACTCACTCTCAATTAAATAAGAATGATACAATTGGATGCAAAATTATTCTGTAAGCAAAAACAAGTAGAAAAAATAAAATAAAACGTTTTCATTTAACACCACCAATTTAATTTTTATTTTTTCTTTTTTTTTTTTCCTTTCTCCAATACATGAAAAAAAATTGTAAAATCAATTCCCTCTCCCAGTTGCATCATTCGACCTAAGATACCTATCTACGTATATCGAAAATTTTTATAATTAAAGAATATTTAAATTATTAAATTTCATTTTGTTTTAATGTATTGTTAATGTGTCCATTAAACATTCTTAATTATATATTGTTGATTTAGAAGATATTTTGCAACAAAAAGGAAAAGAAACAGAGTAAATTAGAGAGAGAGAGAGAGAGAGAGTTACAGAATTAAAGAGAGAAAGAGAGCGAGAGTGAGAGTGAGAGAGAGAGAAAGAGAGAGAATGAATGATGCGAAAAAAAATAGGTAAATTTATCACCCAAATTATAAATTAAACTTTATATGAAGTAGAAAATTATTAGAAATAGCAAACTGTGCATTACTAAAAAAAATTAAACTATATCGCGAAGTTTAAAAAAATTGACGTGATCAAAAAAGGAAGTAATTGTTTTTACATTAAAGTTAACTATTTTTTTTCTTTAAATCGCTATTTTTATCCAACCTATATGCTAAATTATTTTTTTTAATTTTCTAAAAATAAAATAAGAAAAATCAATTATAATAATAATTGACAAAATTGACAATCCTAACGAATTATCGAACTATCAAACTATCGAGCTATGCTGTAATCGATCGATTTTTAAACTTTTTATTTCAAATTAAAATTGTAATTGTTGTAATTTTCGAGTAATATTCGAATAATAATAATAATATTAATTGTGATGATAAATGTATGATGCGATATATATGTGTTTCGCAATAAGTGATTTATTAACTATAAATCATTTTTGGCGGAAAATCTTTGAAATTCTTAAATTGACTTAACGAACTAATGTTTTTTTCCGTTTATGAGCACGCATTATTCTCAAAATCCTTATTCTCAATTAAGTAAGAAATAAATTGAGCCATTGAGAAACAATGATCTATGAACTAAGCAATCTATAAAAGATTTTGAGAACGTAATAAATATGCAGTATCATATAGAGAATTATACTTTATACTTTACTTTATATATATATATATTATATACGTATAATATATATATATATATATATATATAATGCGTATCAATGTATATAAGCGTAAATGGAAAATGAGTTACTTTCTATAACTCTAATTTTCGCAAACATCATCTTTTAAATAAGACATTTGTCCGTATCAATCTCCGTACACTCAAAACACAAAATTATTTCGTATTTTTATAATTTGAACAAATTTTTACTCGATTAACGTGTAATTGTCAAATATACACATTAATACGCATATACCACTTGTAGTAATAAACAATCTCTGTCGTGACACGTACATGTTAATCTACATATCATGTATACCTGTATTTATATACGTGTATATACATACATGCGATTGTACATATACGTATATGTATGCATGTGTATATGTATATACAGACAACTGGTATAAAAAAAATAATAGATAGATAGATAAATAAATAAATAAATAAAAAAATAAAAAGAATGAAAGAATAAAATGTAAAATTAGGAGAGGATTTTTCTATAAAAATAAATTTAAAAAAACAATTAAAACATTTCGTGAAATACACGGATAGTTATCAAATACCGCCAAATAAACATACCAACTAAAAAAGCAAGAATACCATGAAGAAATGTATGTGTAAAAAAAGAAAGAAGGGGGAGAAAAAAAAAAAATATGCTTGCAATTTTATTCACAGATGATAAAGTTATATATATGATATATATTTCCAAATGCGAATGTAATCCAAATCCGATAATAATTTCTTGCGAATCTTTGCAATTTTTTAAATTTTTGTAGATTTTAATAGTTTTAGTGCTTATTACCGTTTGTTACTTAACTCATACAATAGAGAAGTACAGTTAAAATTGAAAAAAATGTATTATCATTAAATAAAATTGTCATGCTATTAGAGTTTTGCAACATGCATTGCAATGATTTATGAATATGCAAAAGATTGATATTTCGTGGAATTCTCGTATGAATTTACATCATCGATTAGTCGATTAATACAAGTACGATTACTGTCGTACATATACTGTTCTCTATACTATAATAATAACAACAATAATAATAATAATAATAACAATAATAATAATAATAATAATAATAATAATAATAATAATAATAAAAGCATCTGCAAAAACAATCAAAAAATTGCTTCGCTCCTATAAATGTTCTTCATTAAATTATAATTATTTTATATATATATATATATATATATATATACATATATATACATATATATATATATACATATATATATA